GCCTCCGGAAGTTGTGGGTGCTCCATCGCTGGACGATTTTAAGAAGAGACTAGACAGCCACTTGTCCGAAATGGTGTAGGGCCTCCTGCCTGAGCAGGGGGCTGGACTAGACAACCTCCGAGGTCCCTTCCAGCTGATCACATTACATATTTGTCCGAAATGGTGTAGGGTCTCCTGCTTGTTCGGGGGCTGGACTAGAAGACCTCCGAGGTCCCTTCCAGCTCTATTCAGATCACATTACATATTTGTCTGAAATGAGTATAGGGTCTCCTGCTTGTCCGGGGGCTGGACTAGAAGATCTCCCAGATCCCTTCCAGCTCTATTCTGATTACATTACATATTGGTCTGAAATGGTATCGGGGTCTCCTGCTTGAGCAGGGGGTTGGACTAGATGACCACAAAGGTCCCTTTTCGCTCTGGTCCCATTTCGCTCTGTTACATTACATATTTATCTGAAAGGAGTATAGGGCCTCGTGCTTGAGCAGGGGGCTGGACTCGAAGACCTCTGAGGTCCCTTTCAGCTCCATCCTGATTATGTGTTTGTCTGAAACGGTACGGGGTCTCCTGCTTGCCAAGGGGCTGGACTAGAAGACCTCCCAGGTCCCTTCCAGCTCCATTCTGATCACATTGCAGTTTTGTCTGAAAGGGGTGTAGGGCCTCCTGCTTGAGCAGGGGGTTGGATTAGACGACCTCCCAGGACCCCCATTCCGATTCTGAGTGCCTGCAGATCCGTTAGTCAACCTGGTGGAGAAGCCAGAGGACCCTTCCCCAAAGACAGGTGAGGCCTTGGGGGGTGGGTGGGCACTGCCTCCTGGCAGCCTGGCTAGACTAGGGGCCTTGACCCCTGGAAAAAGTTTATGTCAACAGGATCGGAAAATTGGAATTTGACCACAGCCGGATCCATTCCGGGCGGACTGTCTGCGCCGTCCAGCCATGTTCCCAGCTGCTGCCTGGCTGATCCTGCTGGTGGCCCCCGGCCACCCCTGGGCCACGGGGGACCCGATTCAAGAGACGGAGGAGGGGGACGCGCTGAAGGTGAGTCGGGCAGGCTGCAGGTTACGGAATTCCAGAATGGGAAAGGGATCCCGGAGGTCTTCTAGTCCAACCCCGCTTCAGCAAGCGCCCCTACGCCGGGGGTCCTCAACCTTGGCCACTTTTGTGGACTTCCACTCCCAGAATTCCTCAACCTTGGTTGAAGACCCCCCCTACCCCGTTTGGGGGAGAAGATTGGGGCCTGGGGGGGGGCTTGCTTCCGGTCAGTGGGATCCAATTTCTCCCTCTTTTTTTTTTTGTGATCCGGACGGTTTAATGCTCTAAAGGACGGTGCCCGCTTGTTCATATCAGGACTGCAGGCTGCAGTTCAACAGGGGAGGCCCAGCTGCGCGAAGGCACCGGAATGGGGCTCCGGGTCCCCCACGGGTGTCTGCAAAAGAGCGTTAATTCGTTTCAGAACCGGACAGCCGTTTGTCCAGAATGGGATAGTGTGGGGGATGGACTAGACGACCTCCAGGGTCCCTTCCAACTCTGTACTCTGCCCCAGAATGGGATGGGGGGGGATGGACTAGACGACCTCCAGGGTCCCTTCCAACTCTGTCCTCTGCCCCAGAATGGGATGGGGGGGGATGGACTAGACGACCTCCAGGGTCCCTTCCAACTNTGTCCTCTGCCCCAGCTGGGCGCGGCGCCCCCAGCTGCTTTGAGCAGGGGCAGAAGAGAGGCAGCGGCTTCACCTGTTGGATTGCTCCCTGGAGGAAGCTCAAGAGTCCCGCGGGATCCAGCGCAAGCGAGGGGGTGCTGGTGGGGGGGTCGAGGCTGATTTGGAGAGAGGGTCCCTTTTTTGGCCAAAGGGAAACGGAGCAAGCTCGCTTAGAGACCCTCCGCAGTGCGTGAGGTCATCCAGTCGTGCCCGAGCCCCTAGCCACCCCCCCCGGGGTGGACTTGCGGACTTCCCCGCCCCTCCCGCGCCCTTTCCCACGGAGCAAGGCTGCCCCCTCGTGGCTGAAACCTCGCCGCGCACCTTCCGCGGGCGATCCCCTCCCCTAGCGGCGCGCCCGGGTACTGCGCGGCTTCTGTTTCTCCGCCAGCGGGGTGCTGCCCCCTGGCGGGCGGCCGGGGCTGATGCCGGTCTTTTTCCTCTCCCCCCCCCCCCCCACTTTCCAGCTGGGTGCCTGTTTCCCAGGCTCGGCCGTGGAAGCCGGGGGGCTGAACCTGGGGCAGAGATGGGGAGACCCCTCCCCAACTGCCAGTCTCCTCATTGACCTGCGAAGGGTAACCAGGTAAGGAAGGGGGTGGGTGGGTGGGTGGGCAGAGGGCGTGGCCAAGGGGCTTCCTCCCCCCCCCTTTCCCGCCCCACCCGGGGAGCGCGGCTTCCTTCCAGGAGTTGCGCAGGCTTTGCCAGGATGCCGCGCAAGGCTGCCAGGCTACGTGCTGCCAGGCCCAGGACGGAGTCTGCGCCAGGTCTCCCGTGGGGGGTCCCAGAGCAGCTGGGGGGAGGGTCTCTCGGAGAGGGTGAAGAAGCCCCCCCCCGCAGGAGAGGAGGAGTGCGGGGATGATGGGATCTTTAGTACAGAGAGAGGGAGAGAGAAAGAAAGGGAAAGAAAGAGGGAAAGAGGAAGAGAAAAAGAAAGAGAGGAGAAGAGAAGAGAAAATGAGAAAGAAAGGGAGGGAGAAGAAAGAAAGAAAGAAAGAAAGAAAGAAAGAAAGAAAGAAAGAAAGAAAGAAAGAAAAGGGAAAGGGAGAGAGAGAAAGGAAGGGAAAGAGAAAAGAAGGGAGGGAGAAAGAGAGAAAGAAAAAGAGAAGGAAAGGGCAAAAGTGGGGGAGACAGGGAGAGAAAGAGAGAGTGGGAGAGAGAGAGGGTGAAAGTGGGAGAGAGGGACGGGGAGAGAGAGAGTGGGAGAGAGAAAGAGCGGGAGAGAGAAAGAGCAGAAGAGAAAGAGAGAGTGGGAAAGAGGGAGAGAGAGAAAGAGAGTAGGAGAGTGAGAGGGGAGAGAGAAAGTGGGAGAGAGAGAGAGAGAGTGGTAGAGAGGGGAGAGAGGGAGAGAGAGAGAGGCAGGGAGGTGTGGAAGAGAAGTCAACGACCACCCTCGGTGTCTTCCCCATCTGGGAGGGGTCTGCATTAGGACCCTCCCCCCTCTGGTTCCCCCCTTGAGACGACCCTCCCTGTTCCTCCCCCCCCAGTGCAGCTTCCTCCTTCGACTTCCGGACCTTCGACCCGGAAGGGGTCATCTTCTACGGGGACACCAATCCCGGCTTCGACTGGTTCGTGCTCGCTTTGCGTCGGGGGAAACCGATCATGCAGATCCACAACTCCCTCACCAACATCACCGTCTCCGGGGGGCGGCGTCTCAACGACGGCCAGTGGCATCGGGTAAGACGACAGGCGGGTCCTCGACTTACGACCACAAACGAGACCAGCATTTCCACCGCTCAGCGAGGCAAGTCATTAAGCGAGTGGCACCTCATTTCAAGACCTTTTTTTGCCACGGTCGTTAAGCGAATCACCGCAGTCGTTCAGTGAATCGTGCGGCCGTTAAGCGAATCCGGCTTCCCCCTTGACTTTGCTGGTCAGACGGTCGCAAAAGGGGATCACGTGATCCCGGGAACGCTGCGACCGTCGTAAATACGAGTCAGTTGCCGAGCGTCCGAATTTTGATCCCATAACCACAGAGATGCTGCGATGGTTATAAGTGTGAAAAATGGTTCTAAATCGTTTTTTTTAGTGCCGTCTTAAGTTCAAATGGTCACTAAACAAACGGTTGTAAGTCAAAGGCTATCCTTATATATTTGCTGCATCTTGTGTCAGGGAGTTCCACAGGCTAACGAGGCATTGAAATGGAGCCGGTCATAAGTCGAGGACTACCTATCAGCTAAAGGAGACCCCCCGCCTCCCCCATGTTTCCCACGTCCTCCGGTGGGGGTCCCGATCCTTTCTGACCCTCCTCTTCCTCTGTCCCTGTATGCGACTTCTCCTGTGCTCCCCGGACAGATCACGGTGAAGAACGAAGGACACGTCGTAATGTTGTTGCTCGACGGAGAGGACCAACTCACCCTCAGCCACGTCTCCCACCCGATTGTGAACCGGACCACCCCCCAGATGCGCATCGGGGTGGGAGGCCTGTTCATCTTGCCGACTGAATTGCTGGTCCCGGTAAGACGGATCTCTGTCCTCCGGCGTCCGTACGCCGCGAGACCCAAAATGGCCTAAAGTCCCCAATGGATTCCTTTTCCCATCTTTTCTCTAAACCAGTTTTTTTTCTCGAGCTTGGGTGCTTTAAGAAGTTTGGACTTCAATTCCCAGAATTCCCTAGCCAGCCATACCTGTTTTCAAGCTTGGGAGCTATGAAAAGTGTGGACCCCCACTGTGGCCTGCTTATTCTCTTATAAGCGGAGAGATTGCAGAGGAAAGGATTATACGAGAGTAAGCAGGCCACAATGGGTATACATATCAAAAGGGAATTCTGGGAGCTGAAGTCCACACTTTTCATAACTTTTCATAACTCCCAAGCTTGAAAACACTGTTCTGAAGTAATCCAAAACTCTTTTATTATTTTGCATCCTCCCTCTGTTTTATTCTCACAACAGCCCTGCAAGGTGGGTCAGGGGGAATAAGGATAACGGATCCAGAGACAGAATGGGGGGAAATGAGGATTTGAATTTGGGCCCAGCTCAAAGCACATAGCCAATCTTTAGCTTGAGAGATACGTCCGTCTGTCTAAAGCTTTTGGGCATGGTGTTTGAATCATGGCTTGTTTGAGCCATGGTTTGAGCCATTCAAACTGTTCACCAGCCATAAAGCATCATTTATGAACCAAGGGGGTCTGGATTTGTCCCATTGTGCTATACTGGAATTTATTGCAAAGAACAGAACAGATTAGAAATAGAAATAATAAGAATAGATGGGATGGGATGGGATAGGACAGGATAGAATAGAATAATAAAATACAGAATAGAATAGAATAGAATAGAATAGAATAGAATAGAATAGAATAGAGTAGAGTACAGTAGAGTAGAGTAGAGTAGAGTAGAGTAGAATAGAATAGAATAGAATAGAATAGAATAGAATAGAATAGAATAGAATAATAAAATACAGATAGAACAGAATAATAAAATACAGAATAAAATAGAATAATAAAATACAGAATAGAATAGAATAGAATAATAAAATACAGAACAGAATAGAATAATAGAATAGAATAGAATAATAAAATACAGATAGAATAGAATAATAAAATAGAGAATAGAATAATAAAATACAGAATAGAATAGAATAATAAAATAAGAATAGAATAGAATAGAATAGAATAATAAAATACAGAATATAATAGAATAATAGAATAGAATAGAATAATAAAATACAGATAGAATAGAATAATAAAATACAGAATAGAATAGAATAATAGAATAGAATAGAATAATAAAATACAGATAGAATAGAATAATAAAATATAGAATAGAATAATAAAATACAGAATAGAATAGAATAATAAAATTAGAATAGTATAGAATAGAATAGAATAATAAAATACAGAATATAATAGAATAATAGAATAGAATAGAATAATAAAATACAGATAGAATAGAATAAAATACAGAATAGAATAGAATAATAAAATAATAGAATAGAATAATAAAATACAGAATAGAATAATAAAATACAAATAGAATAGAATAATAAAATAATAGAATAATAAAATAATAGAATAGAACAGAATAATAAAATACAGAATAGAATAGAATAGAATAATAAAAAAATAGAACAGAACAGAACAGAACAGAATAATAAAATGCAGAACAGGAATAGATGCTCAGCTTGCAACTGGTCTTGACTTACTCGCCCCAAAAACAACCTTTGCAAAGCGGGGCCAGTCACGCGATCCACCCACTTTACGACTGTCCCGACTTAACGACCGGGAACGGTCAGGCTCCCTTACGGTCCTAAGGACCGCCTGCGGAACCAGGGATTCACAATCGTCCAAAACCGCGACGCCCTTCAACGCCAGGCTCTCCCTGCCGCCACCCCCTTCCTCCCCGAAACGCCCCCCACCCCAATTTCAAGAGGGTCTTTTGTCTTTTCCCCATCCTGCCTCCTCCTCTCCCCTCACCCCCCCACCCCCTGGACCGACGGGGGCTGCAGCTGAACCCGGCGATGGACGGCTGCATCAGGCGCTGGGACTGGCTGAACACGAGCCAGGCGTGGCAGGAGGGGGCGTCCCTGCAGGACCCCGGCGCCAAGGTCTGCTTGGCCACCGTCCAGCGGGGCAGCTTCTTCCCTGGCGACGGACTGGCCGTCTTTCAAGTCTCAGGTATGGCTGGGCACCAGGGGCTGTGGAGTCCCTCGATGGGGAGGGCCTGGCAGGGCGACGACCCCGTCTCTCGCCAAGGGGTGGGCACCGGCGGTGGCAGCCGCCGCAGGTGCCAGCCACGGCCTCCTCCTCATCCTCCTCCTTGTCTCTCGCAGGCCTCCCCGTCAGGCTCAGCCCCATGGACGGCACCTGGGGGTTCTCCCTGCAGCTGCGGATCAGGGCCGCCCCCCAGCTCAGCACCCTGCTGGCCGTTTGGGCGGTGGAGGAGCAGCGCCCAGTTCTGCGCCTGGCCCTGGAGCGCACGGTGAGGACGGAGAGGACGGACGGGCGGAGGCATACGAGCCTCCCTGCGTCCTGGATGGCTGGTAGCAGGAACACACACACACACACACACACAGACACACACAGAGACACACACTTTGCCAGAAGGGGGGGGCAGGGCTGGCCGGCGGTCGAGGTGCCCGCCAGATGGGTTGGGCTGCCGGGAATGACTGCCGGGAGGGGCCGATAAGTCAAGAGGGTGGCCACAACTGTGTGGGCATCTGTCAGTGGGTGGGTGGGTGGAAGGAAGGAAGGAAGGAGATGGGAATGAGAAGGAGGGAGAAAGGAGGAAGGAAAAAAGGAAGGAAGGAAAGAAAAGAAAGAAGGAACGGAGGGAGGAAGGAAGGAAGGAGATGGGAAAGAAGATTGGAGGAAGGGAGGCAGGGAAAAAGGGAGGAAGGAAGGAAGGAAGGAAGATTGGAAGGATGGAGGGATGGAAGGAAGGATGGGAGGGAGGGAGGGAGGGAGGGAGGGAAGGAGGGAGGGAGGGAAGGAAAGATGACTGGAAGGTTGGATGGATGAATGGATGGAAGGATGGATGAAAGGAAGAAGGATGGATGGAAGATTGGAAGGATGGAAGGAAGAAGAATGGATGGAGTGATGGAAGGAAGGATGGGAGGAAGGAAGGAAGGAAGGATGGATTTAAGGTTGGAAGGATGTAAGGGAGAAGGATGGACAGATGGAAGGAAAGGAAGGAAAGTTGGAAAGATGGATCAGAGGTTTGACAAATGGATGGAAGGATGGATGAAAGGAAGAAGGATGGATAGATAGATGGAAGGAGAGATGGAAGGAAAGAAGGATAGATGGAAAGAACCAAGGTTGGAAAGATGGATGAAAATTTGACGAATGGATGGATGGAGGGATGGAAGGGAGGATGGAGGGAATGTTGGAAAGATGAATGGAAGGAAGGAAGGAAAGGTAGAAAGACGGATGGATGGAGGGCGGGTGGATGAACGAAGGAAGGAATGAGTGAAGGCTCCCAAGTGGGGAGAGACCTGAGACAGACACCAAGGCTTGTGTGCAGGGCATCATGGGCCTGTGGGTGCCGTGGACCCCTTCCCCGTGGGGGGGGAGAACCACGGAAACTGCACTCAGCCCCGCCCCCTCCTCAACCCGCTTTGTGACTCCTCCTCCCCCCCAGGATCTGACGGCCGAAATGGGTAACCAGACGGTCCTGCTGCTCCCTCTCCCCCAAGGGGGCTGCCTGGACACCCCCCTCCTCCTCCTCCTCACCCCCTCCTCCTTCACGCTGCGTCTGGGCGACACCGAGGTCACCAAGCCCACCCCCAGGGACGATTACGAGAGCCTGAGAGATGTCTGGCTGAGCAACATGGGAAACCTGGTCATCGGAGGGGCATCTGGTACGTCTTCCCGGGAAGGGGGGGGGGACCATAGCAAGGGGCACATGGGACGGGAGGGGGGGGTGTAGCCAGATCCGACCTTAACTCCGGCTAAAAAGAGGGTGTAAGTCACCCCAAGTCGCCCGGATGGGCAGCGTATCAATTTAATATAAAAATAATCTCACTCTGCTGAAGAGCTGTACATCTCCTGAATCTTGTGGCATGGAGTTCCACAGGCGTTTGGAATTTATGCTCTGGCAGGTTTCTAATACAACTTAAAACGGAATCTCCACTACGAAGCAAGATAAGTTGTTAAGTGAGTTTTGTCCCCGTTTTACGATAAGTTGTTAAGCGAGTTTTGCCCCCGTTTTATGACCTTCCTCGCCGCGGCCGCTAAGCGAATCGCTGCAGTTGCGAAGTTGGTAACCCGGTTGTTAAGTGAGTCCACCTTCCCCCGCTGAGTTTGCTTGGTCGGAAGGTCACAAAAAAGGGGAAGGAATCGCGCGACCCCGGGACGCCGCGACCGTCATAAATACGAGTCAGTTGCCCAGCGGCCGAATTTTGATCCCGTGACCCCCCCCGGGGAACGCGGCAACGGTCGTAAGTGTAAAACAACGGTCCTAAGTCCCTTTTTTTCCAAGGCTCTTGTAATGTCTGAACGGTCCCTAAGTCAACCCGAATTATATTTGCAGCATCTTGTGGCAGGGAGTTCCCCAGGCTAACGACGCATTGAAATGCAGCCGGATTTATATGCTGCTGGGCTTCTGTTATTTCCGACTCCTTTTTTAAAAAAAATATATCTTTATTTCAGGAGAGGGAAAAACTCCGGAATCTCCTCGTTTCCAGGGCTGCCTCAACACCGTCCGGGTTCAAGGCCACGAGCTGGACTTCGATGACGCTCAGTACCGGAGCAACTCGATCTGGGCACACAGCTGCCCCGGGAACGTGGGAAACAAAGTCGACGTGGATGATGGGCATTAAAGGGACGGCGGCGCTACTGCACACACACACACGCACACCTGGGCAATTTTTACACCCCTGGACACACCTGTCGCCGTCTCTCTCTGTTCTGCCGTCCGTGAACGTGTGTGGTGATGGCTAAGTTCCCGTAGCCGCAACATCGAGCAGCGGTGTGATTGTTGCCCGCGTGGTTGATGAGCGGCTGGGTGCCAAGTCAGCTTGTAGTTGTGTTGTCGGACAATTGTGGGAATCGGCAATGATGTTAATCTCCTATGGGCTCCAGGTTTGCAGAATTAGTGTATCCACAAATGCTTCTCAACCGTGGGAACTTTGAAGTTGGGTGGACTTCAACTCCCAGAATTCCTAGCCAGGGTACTTTAAGGGAGGTGGACTTCAACTCCCAGAATTCCTAGCCAGGATGCTTTAAGAGAGGTGGACATTTATTCTTGCCCTATCCTTGCCAAATTCTGGTAAACCCTTGCTGGCTGGGGAATGCCTGGAGTTGAAGTCCACCTGTCTTAAAAGTTCCCACGGTTGAGAAATATCGGTTCAGGCTGGTCCAGATTTGAAGGCCTGCAACCGAGCTGGTGCTACCGGTAGTAAACTCCCCGTAACCTATAGTAGCAACGTCTTATTACTAATTGTAATAAGAGAGAGAAAGAGAGAGAGTTGCAGACTTTGAAGAAAGCAGGAGAAATCCCTAAAAAAAATTCCCCTGGCCTGGCTGAAGCGTGTAATTCAGACAGAAAGCGCAACTTGTAAATATCTTAATAAACGGATAGTCTAAAGTGGATGGCTGTCTATTTTAAAAGGATAGATAGATAGATAGATAGATAGATAGATAGATAGATAGATAGATAGATAGATAGATAGATAGATAGATAGA